TCCAAGCTTCGATGGCGTACTCTGTGTACAGTTGAATGTACACTGATGACAACCGTGGGAACAGTACTGATTCAAACCGACCAAAGAGTGGACTAATCAAGCAGATGTTCTTCACAGCAGCGGACGAAGCCCTGGCTCAATTGATTGAGCAGCTTAATTCCTCTTAAACAATTATACATAAGTCCTTCTCGCTCGGGGTATATGCTATATGGTGTAGAGATAGGACTTTGTATTTAGAAACATTGAATTCAGTATCGTTCTCCTTGAACCTTAGTCGTGAGTCAAGCTGTGATCCTTACTTGGATTTATTCATTAACTATTGTTTTGTATACTAACTGTTGAATAAAATTTCCCCATTTACTTCCCGATTCATATCTTCCGCACACAGCAAATTATCCTAACAAATATGAATGAACTGTTTGAGGATGAAGCAGGCTACGCAGTCCTGGACCCAATTTTGTTCGGGGACTATTGGGCCGCGGCTAGTGAGGAGGATGCACGACTTTACGAGGACATGCAAGACTATGAAGTGTGCAAAGCGGTGGTGGAGGAGGTGAGGCCTTTCCTCGTTTTGTGTAAATTAATGTGAACTGAACTACAGACAACTGAAATGATCGTGAACGAAAAACATATCACAAGATTGCAAAATTTTCCCCAGAATTCATTTAGCTGAATCTCAAAAGGTGCGTACTGCACAACCAAACTCATTGTATAGTACAGTACAGATAAACACAGTTCTTTTGAACAACTGAAAGACAGTCACTAAAGCAGGAAAGCAACCATGGACGTTTGATTGTATAAATGACATGGACAGCAGACGGGGTAGACACTATAGTGGCGAAGATCCACTGCCCAGTGATGGCAACCGTTAACCCGAATCCCGGGGCTTCGAGTGGTGACTCATATAGGCCTGGTATTGAACAGGACAAAAACAAAGATGCCCATCACCAAAGTTGGTTGCTGATGCTCTGATTCGGTATTTTTTCTTTCAAGACTAAAGAAACTGTAAACAGAATTTCCAAATTCAGAAGACCACATGAAAGAGATATAGTTGTGTACATTAGAATATCATAGTATTGTATTATGCAATTTGTACCAACATTAGTTCACATTTAAGCTAAAAGAGACTTCACATCCTGACCGTCTCGTGGAATCCCCTATATGCAAACGACTGATATGTGTTTTATTCAAACCGAATAAGAATTACATTAGCCAATTTCGGAAGCTGCTTTTATTGGTCTCGAATGGTTCTTTGTGCCATGGTATTACCGTTCACGATTGAACTAATAAAGCAATCATACCAGTTGCGTGACCTATTGAAAGCGTTAAATAATAATCACTTATATTTTTGTACAAAAATTCTTTTTTCATGAGTTGACCTAATTCAAGCCCTGTCTAACTCATAGCCCTTTTTGTTCCTGTTGAATTCTGCAGCTGCTGTTCAACTATCGTGAAACCGAGGGTAACATTGATGTGGTTTTGTTCAACGATGCACTGGAACATCTGGGTGCGATTCATCGTATTCTTCGTCTCGACGGTGGCAATGCCCTGCTGGTAGGGGTCAGCGGTTCGGGTAAGAAGTGTCTGGCTCGACTCGGGGCCTATATTGCCAACACAAAAACGTTCGAGGTGGTGCTCAGACGAGGTTACGGGGAGAATGAGTTTCGTGACGATTTGAAGAAACTCTACACCAGCATGTCCTCAAATAAGTCCGACTACATGTTCTTACTTTGCGATGAACACATACGAGACGAATGTGAGTCTAAGAAACTGGTGGGGAACCCAATGGTTGCATTGATTGAAAACTCGTTTGTGTTTGAAAAGAATGATTACAATTGGAGGAAAGGGGGACGACGACAGGGTCCTTCTCGTTTACCAGTCTAACTTATCCTATAAAGGCCAATCACCAGTTCGAATCAAAAAGTACTTCAAACAGGTAGAATACAATAGAGTCTATTTCAGATAAGTGGCCTAGGCTGTCAGGCCATTAAGATCCCGTTCATTCACATATGCGTGCTTAGGAATAGGGAGTCGGACTCTATTGGTTGGCGAATTGTGAAATCGATCAGCGGGCTGTAGAAATCCTTCCCGGTTCGTATTTGTGGGCCGCACATACCAATCCAGTGGAGCACAGGGGGAAACAAAGCATCGATTGGGGATTGATGAATTCGTGAAAACCATAATCACGTGACTCAAGCGCAATAGAGCACGTGATCCACAACAGTTGTCTAGTCCGTTCCGGGAACCTTTCCCGTCGGTAGTACACCGAATAGAAGTCACAGCGAACTGCATGTACGGCACAAGCTTAATGACTGAATTACCACCCCCCTAGTTTTTGTTGCCGCCGTGAAACACAGAGAGCAAATGAACCACCGAAAGAACAAAATAGGACGAACGCATTTTAGTTTGTCTAACCTCGAGTAATACATGTTCCATCTCGAAGGTGAAGTATGTGATCGGAACCCGTGTTTCGAACTGAACGTAACAAACAAGTCCGTAGGTCAGATATATTGCTCTCATATCACTGCATAAAACACAACTCCTATCCTGGACCTGCGGCATGAGCAACCAAGAGAGAAAAAATATATTTCGGAGAAAACATCTGTTTAGATGAATCAAATACTTGGAATTATTATTGAGATTGTGATAGAACAGAAGAAATAAGTCTAATTTTTATGTAACAAAGAAAGAAAGAAAGACGGGAGTTCAGTGATAGACCGGAGGACAGTCACAGTGCACAGCCGAGTTGAACTATAGTCACACTAGGGGATACACAAGATGGGCAGAGAAAGTGAGAAGGATGATATGTTTCTGTCACACCGTGCTCGTTCCGCCCACAGTCAAACGCTTGTGGACAGCACACGGTCGCACGTGAATGTCGCGGGAGGGGGGGGGGAAGACATGAGTTTGTTTAAGCCCGATCAAAAGTGTTCACGAGACAAAACATGTGGACTTGCTGATTGGATCGTGTGTGCTCCCCCACCGATCCGAACAATAAGTCGCCCCATCGCAGATACGCGGATGGCGCAAACGCGTGGGTGATTGGATGAAGTG